TCACAACTTAATGACCAAGGACAAATTTGGGTCCTGAGGTTACACAGGTGGAGAAACACTGATTTAAGGTCACAGTATATGATTACCTTCTGACAATAAGTAATGAATGCATTGCATGATCACTTTCCTGTTCAACAGCCACTTACAAATCCTATAAATGTCTATATTGATGTGCGCTCTATTCTTATCATGGAGGGAGCCGTACGCATATAGGTGGCAACATGACAGTGGGCTTTAACAACGTGCTGCCAAATATATGCATAAAGCCAGTGCTGCTGTCCTGTGTAGGGAGCATGCTTATTCTGTGCCGCCGCACCATGACTGAGCTTTCACCGACATCGGCCGCTCACGGTTTATAAATGGGAGCTGGTAGGACTAGCTTCCAATCACGTGACTAATGTGACAGTCAATCATAGTGATCAAATGATCGAGAGCCCCCACCCCCACTTCCCCTGGAGTAACAAAAAAAACTGATGGGAGACAGTGGTAGGGGTTAAAAACATTTGACCATTGCCTTTTACTCAGACATGTTTATTCAGGGTATCTTCTGAAATCTGTGGAACCCTACATATATAAGATGTGTGTACACAGATTTGCAGTATTTGCAACAGAACTGCTTTCCTCCCTATGTCAGTCAACGGGAATACATAATAAGCTGATAGCAGCTAATGAGGAGGCCTGGAACAAGTCAGAAGCCGCTCAGAAGGCATTCAGAAGCACCTGAAAGCATGTTGGATATGCCTGTCTTCACAAGCACTTACTGTTCTACAATCATACTGATAGTTACAAGGCTTAATAAAGACTGACTAATGTACACTATGTGGGTACCTTCATTCTTAACTTACTTATAGACATTTTTAAAACACCTTTATTTTACAAGCATATTTACTTTTTTTTTTTTAGCCCTTTTGTACTTTATCTTCCAGCACCAGCCCATGTTCAGAAGATACATTGTTTCAATTGTTAAAAATTAAGGCAAACTGTAAAAATATCCAAAAACTGGTACAAAAGATAAAAATCAGTCAGAATGGACCTCATTAAAATGGTAATAGATACAGCCACCAATATCCAAAAGCCTGCAGACTGCATGCAATACACATATAGTTCAAGGGAAGTCTTGAGTCAATGAGTGTATGGATCTTTGTCAGTCTGTACATACACACTGGTGTACAATGATCCTGTTGCATATAGCAGTGAAACTAGTGACCTGGCACCAAAAGTCTCAATCTGCTTAAACAGATTTGGACTATAGTTGCTTAGAACAAGGTTTTGAGAGGTTCTATTTACTATATCTGTGCAGACATACTTCCACATGCCCTGCCAGTCAAGCACAGGCCAACCACAGATGATTCTGTAAAGAAATCTGCTTCTTTTGCAATGTCTATTCAATGTCATGAACAAATATCCTGACTAGGACCTGGTGATGTTCATTAGAAGATGAAGGCCCCTCTACCATTGAGCACTAGCCCCCACAAAGATTACCAATGCAATTGTTCAAATTGCCATATGTTGCCCCACTTGCTCCTTTGAGACAGTTCAGGCAATATATCCACCACTGCAACCTGGCGACATTCCACAATCATGATACAGTTCACAGAGTTCCAGGACGAAGAGGGTGGCGCGTCTTTGAATGCATGTCAGAGATGCACATTCTGATAATTATCTTCTTCACATAAAAAAATTGGCTTCTTTTCTTTTATCACATAAAAACAAGTGCTAATCATTCTCCGCATTCTTTGTGAAATATGGAACAGTTAAATGCAAATTATGGGGGCTTGAGATACAAGAAATACAAGAAAAACATGATTTGGAACATAGCTTTTACTTCTGTTAATTTAGCTACTATGACCTGACCTCTAACTAGGCGCTTCGGGTTATAGCACTTCATTGTGGCCATTGTATCAACTAGTAACATCCAGAGAACCAAATAACCTTCTCGGGTTGATGTAACCCACCACAATCTTCAACCCAATTTAGTAACAAATTAGCAGCACATACAGGTGAAACTCGAATAATTAGAATATCGTGCAAAGTTCATTTATTTCACTAATGCAACTTAAAAGGTGAAACTAATATATGAGATAGACTCATTACATGCAAAGCAAGATAGTTCAAGCCGTGATTTGTCATAATTGTGATGATTATGGCTTACAGCTCATGAAAACCCCAAGAACCCCAAATCCACAACCTCAAAAAATGAGAATATTACATGCAATCAATAAAACAAGGATTGTACATAGAACAATATCGGACCTCTGAAAAGTACAAGCATGCATATATACTCAGTACTTGGTTTGGGCCCCTTTTGCAGCACTTACTGCAATTACTTTTGCACGATATTCTAATTATTCGAGTTTCACCTGTATATGTTGAAGCTCTCTGCATACAACAGTGCATGATTGCACAGAAATTTGCAGTAATTATGAAAATGTCTGTGTGCGATAATGAGTGATCCCAGCAGTTAGTAGTTCTTAGCATTCAACCCCCCCAAAAATACTTAAATGATCCCTCTTCAGCCAGTTGTCACAAGTTAATGGTTGATGGCTACCCTTTGTGTAGTCAGTGCAAGGAAATATTTCTGATAATGGGTTACTGCAGTTTGGACACTTAAACGTGAACTTACTTTTTTTTTTATAACTGCCTACAATCACAAAGGTTTTTGGAGCTGTAGTATTCACATCTTTTGCCATAGTTTCTCTTTATGCACAGAAGCTTAACGTTACACAATTGTAAGGGGCTGCTATCAAAACAAATTCAATCAATTTTAGAATGCTCGTAGTAAAGCTAGGGGAGATTGAACTGCATTTTAGTACCTGCAGAATGGCAAAATATTCTAAGAGGAGCAATGGAGACCACATCTTTATCAGGCTGAATGGGCTAATATTTTTGTCAAAAAGCTTTATTAGATTAAGAGGCTTTGGGTACTGTTAGGTTACTGTAGGCATATTTCTAAGGTAAGAACTTGGGTATAGATGGACAGATGACTCACTGAGGAAGTAGAGGTCGTGATAAATCTGCCTGTCCTGCAACGACTTGGTGGCCAAGACCTGCCAAATGAAAGTGAAAGATCTGCCAAATTAAAGAATTAATGCCTTTTCGGCATATAAAAGGTGAACTGGCATGCAGTTGGCCAAATTGTTAAACACAGTTGGAAGCACAAATGACCACACCTGTATAATAGATAGATAGATAGATAGATAGATAGATAGATAGATAGATAGATAAACAGGATTTATATAGTTTAAAGCACACTGCTTTACAAAAAAGGGAGACAGTACAGTTACAATACAATTCAAGACAATAGGGTTAGGCAGGCCCTACTACTGAGTGCTTACAATCCAAAATGGAGGGTCAAGTGACACAAAAGGTACTAGCTGTAAGGGGATGAATTGATAACGAAAGTAAAATGTTAGTTTTTAGGTAGAGCCTGGATAGGCTTCTCTTAAGAGGAGAGTTTTCAGCGGTCGCCGAAAGGCAGGCCGCGTAGCAGAGAGTTGAACAGATTGGGGTAGGCGGTTCCAGAGCATAGGAGAGGTCCTGGAAAAGTCCTGGAGGCAAGCATGGGAGGCAGTGATGAGGGATGTACTGAGCAGGCGGTTTGGGGGGAGCGAAGAGGACAGTTTGGGTGATATTTTGAGACAAAGTTGGTGATGTAGCTGGGGCAGAGTTGTGGATAGCTTTGCATGTTATTGTAGTTTAAATGTTATTTGCTGGACAATCAGAAGCCATTGGAGGGATGGATTTCCTGCTGTAGGACCATTAAAAAAATTACCTGTGGATTGGTAGTTCTGGCCTGCAGCACTTAGCACATGATCTCTGCTCCTTCCATTGGAATAAGCCTGTAGATGGCACTGATCCTCACTGCAGATTGTATAATGTAATCTCATTTTACCTGGTTTCCAACACAACCTTTCCTGCATCACACAAAAGCATGCATTCAACTCTGGAAAGGGTTGTGTAGATCAGAGTGTGCATGTGAAGGGGCTGACACTTGCTATTTAAATCTCCAGCACACTCAGCAGATGTGTGTCCTTCCAGGACAAAGCAGAAAGTGAAACTTTATTCAGCGTATTAATCAGCATATCTGGTCTGCAGGATATTACTCTGTTTATAAATCACTGAGCTTATTTCGCAGGCTAAGACTAATTCTGTGTGCAAACACTGATAGCGTCAAGCCCTTCACTCCTAAACATGTGACGGGGACATAGGAAACAATAAAAAAGTGCAAATATAAATATCAGATTTATATAGCTTTTTCTTAGTATGTATCGTATAGAGCAGATGATTGTGCAATAAACAGGGCTTAAAATAGAAAGTTTGCTGTCGTCGTATTGTTATTAGCCTTCCGTGCCTACATATTCGATGATGTATTTAAATCATATCCAAAGACATAAAGTACCTCTATGCTTGCACTTGTAGACTCCACATAACCCAATACAAATTCCCAACACATGTCTTATCACTAAACCTGTCTTGTCAGTTTCTATATACATCACATCCTAAATAAAATATTTGTAGCAAACAAACTAAAAATAAGAAACACCATCAAAAACAATATTTAAAGGGATGTAACCTATAGCGAGTAAATTAATTGACAGTGGGCAGATCATTGAAAGATTGGGGCTGATTCCAGTTGCGGAGGGTTACTACGCTTTTTCTGGAAAATACATTGCAATATGAGGGCTATGAGTAATTACCGCTCCTGATAAAAGACACAGAAATACAGTTCAGTGTCTGGGTTTTGACCTCATACAGAAGATACCTTGCTTATATCCTACTCAGCATTTCACCTGTTGAGCAGATAGTATTACAGATAGCAATACAGTACACAGCTTCTATTGTCTGAAATACATGAAGCAATGGGACCACTTTTAAAGGGTCTGTCCATCAACTGTCTCCTAATAACATTGCCACAGAACAAACACATAAAACACTGAATCCACTGTCACAACCTATCGGCATAATGTCAGCGAAAAGACAAAAAGACATTGTACACTTACGGGATCCCCTTCTTCTTGCCATTGGTCCCCATCATGAAGATGCTACTGTTGTCAGAGTGATCTTCTGTCCCAGCACTCTGCCTGTATCCCATCCTGGAATGGAGAACAGCCCGGGACTGATTGCAGGTCTCCACCCAAACACACCTCCCATTAGCCAGCTATGAGAGTACCTGTCATTCCTGTCAGCCACATGGCAGCCCCCCCCCCCTCCACCAGTGCAGAGTGTTCAGGCTAAGGGGCAGCTGGTGGCAGACCCCCCTAACTGTGCCCTAATTCTGAAAAATAACAAGCCCGTGGAGGAGAACATTACAGTTCATTTCTCCCTGCTAGTTCTGACAAGTTCAACAAATCTCCAGCATTTCCTTCTCTCTCTTTCACACACACACACACTCCTCCCACACACACACACACAATGCATCTAGATTAACCCTAAGGTATCATTCATACACGCTGTGCTAAACCTCTGATGTTCAGTAGCTAATTCACAGCCTACATAAGCAGATGGGGCTCATCATAAAAACTGGAGCAGGCATACAATAGTTTCCTGGAGCAAGCAACCAATCACAAGCCAGCTGACATAAATAACAGCTGCTTCCGATGACAGACGTAACAGCTTTGCAACACTCATTATTGCCTTATGTATTATCCCTTAACGCCGCTATGTCGCTATTTAAAAAAAGAATCCTGCCTGCAAAGAATTACATGAACGCTTACCAGTTCTGTTGCCCACATTGTTGGTCTTCTTGAAAAGCCAAGCTTGCTGAACAAACTTCAGTACATAATTGTGACATAATTCCAGTGTTGGATGGCTGGTCCCCCACCATGGGCTGTGGTTCTTTTCATCAAGCCCTACATCTCTATTGTGTCAAAGTGACACTAAACTTTGGAGTTAAATCTTAACAATACATTCAAATACCCTAACTATTAACAAAAATGTATCTTATTTGTGTATCACTCGGCTGTAGTTCTTCACAGTGCAGCCATCAGAAATTTTGGGGCCCCTTACACGGCTTTAGGCCGCCCCCCCCCCTCGCCTCTGGACGCAGGGCTTAGTGATGCGCTGGATGCAGGGCTTAGTGATGTGCTGGACGCAGGGCTTAGTGACGCGCTGGACACAGGACCCACCTGAGAGTGACCCTGCAGAGCCCACCATAGATGCTGCACAGCCCATCTGAGACTGTCTATGAAGGGGTCTCAGGTGGGCTGGTCAGGGCTGTGTCCCTCCTCTCCCTCCTTTCCTTCCTAGCTCCTCTTACCTGCACACATGGCCTTGTCTGCCGCTGGACCAGCCAGAAGTGGCATCCCGTCCGGCCTGACCGACATCAGACGAGCAGCGTCGCTGATGGGGCCCTAGCTTGTCTCAAAGCCGCTGCAGCGGCAATGCTGGGGCCCTGCGCTGCTTGGGCCAGGCCTCCTCCCCCTTCACCGTCGGCCGATAGTCATGTAAGGGACCCGGGCGGGCCCCCCAAGCTGCCCGGGCCCCTTACATGAGTATCACCCGTACCCCCCTGATGGCTGCCCTGGTTCTTCATATCATCTCTGAAATTATGCCGACACTGTCCTTTCTTCTGGAGGGTGGCTACTTTTGTTCCCCATGGTCCCTGTGTGTGTTATAAAGTAGCCACCGCTCCAAGCTCATGGCCATGATGGACTATAATCTCATGTTTAGTTACATAATTTGTATTAAATGATAGTCTATCACCAGAGTGATCTTGGAGTGGTGGCTACTTGACAACACACAGAGCAACCATGGAGAACAAAAGTAGCCACCCTCCAGAAGGAAGGACAGTGTCCGCACCGATTTAGAGATGATTTGAGGATCTACAGCTGAGTGATACACAAATAAGATACATTTTTCTTAATAGTTAAGGTACTTGAATGCATTTTTAAAATTTTACTCCTGAGTTTAGTGTCACTTTAATGACCTAAGAGCTGGTGGATGGAACAAGAGCATGCAAAAAGAGACCAGACAACAGAAACATCTGGAAGCGTTGGATGCCAAAGATCCTTCAGCAAATTGTCCTCTTTAAGAGAGTCAAAGTTAGTGGCACATGCCAAGGGACAGGGAAGTATTCATTCTCTTCATTGCAGGTAGAACACAGAGTGTGGTGGTAACAGCAATCAACGCACGGTCACTGCCTTGGTGCACTCAGAGTTGATGAAGTATTAGTAGCAGAGATTCCAGGAACTCAGAGGACTTTAGCAAAAGGAGCAAAGTAGAAGATAAAAAGTTCAATCCATACTTATGTTTTGGCAGGGCCTCTTGCAAGCATACTTTGACAGGTAAAAGCATCAAAAAATCAACTTTTTAAAATGCTTACTTGCAGTGTTTTTCCTTTTCACAAACTATTTTGCAATCACTTGCAATGTGCCTCTGAACTTGCTAGCACATTTGACTACTACAGAGAGAGTTCACTTACTAGTACAGCCCCCTCCCTCTTTGTACATCATAGTCTTCTACTCTTCTGGGAGTGTCTAATTACTGTCTGTGCTGGCCCCTGCTGATCCACTTACAATGGATGTTGCTCCTTGATGTTTAGAAGTTTTCGTTTCCTGCAGAATCATCTGGTCCCCTGACCACTGGCCCTGATATCCTGTTTTAGGGTGACTCCTTTTCCCTGCAGGGTCCTATGGAGGCACCCTTGTGTGTAGTAAGCCCTCAATGTTAAACAGTCTTTCTTTTCCAACTAAAAAAAAAACTTAAAGAACCTCTCACAACACTATTTAGAGCATAGTAAAGAAGTATTTTTAATTGATATATGCAAACCCAACAATGTCATGGTTATCTGGGTCACACTTGTGTCTTAAATATAACTCCGTCCAAATTAATTCTCCCAGAAAAGGTGAGAAGGTCTACTGGATTTTTTCTTTTTGTCTGTGTCCCTGTTGGAGAGATATTTATTCACTTCCTTTTAGGGATGCACCGATACCGTTTTTTTGGTACAGAGTACGAGTACCGATATTTTATTTTCGGTACTCACTGATACCGAATACCGATACCGGTACCGGAAGTCCCATTAAGGAAGCCAGTTGGCATGTAATGACTAGCCACCTGGTTTCCTGATTAGCCGGGAAGCCGGGCGGCGTGTAAAGACTCGCCATCCAGCTTCCCAATTAGCAGGGAAGCTGTCTCCATGCTCCCTCGTCACCGGGTGACGAGGAAGCATGGAGCCGGCTTTCTGGCCAATCAGGAAGCAGGGCGCCATGTAATGACATGTTGCACGGCTTCCTGATTTGTCGAGAAGCTGGCCAATCAGGAAGTCGGGCAGCGAGTGATTACATGGCACCCAGCTTCCTGACCACGAAGCTGGCTCCATGCTTCCTCTTCAACAGGTGACGAGGGAGCATGAAGACAACTTTCTGGCCAATCAGGAGGCCAAGGGTCGGGTAATGACTCGCTGTCCGGCTTCTGATTGGCCAGCTTCCCGACCATTACACTCTACCTGGCTTCCTGATTGGTCAGGAAGGCGGCTCCATGCTCCCTTATTACAAGTGATGAGGGAGCATGGAGCCGGCTTCCCAGCAATCAGGAAGCCGTGCAGTGTGTAATGAGTCGCTGCCCGGCTTCCTGATACCGGAAGCTCAGGTAGCAGGCTAGGCATCAAAGCATTTGGGCGAGTACAAACACTCACCCAAATACTCGGCATCGGCACCAATACTAGAATCGGTGCATCCCTACTTGCTTTCATGGTGACCACAATCTCCAAGGAAAATCTCTCCAACATGGACACAGGCAGTAATGAAAACAGTTCTTGAAAGGTGGGGAAGAGCCTGGAATCAGATATTATTACTTTCTATATGGTCACTGGAACTGAAAGTGAGAGGACATTTCTCTGGTAACGGACAGCAGTTAAAACCTTACAAAGGACCTAATGTATATCCAGTCTATGCAATACAGTATCCAAGCATTTCTAGGTTCCAGGGGTCCATCATTCTCTTGTTCACTTATGCATATGTTTGTTATCAAGTTGTTGTTGTTTTTTTTGTAACTGACATACAATCCCAGATAGTATCTCTTTAGAGGAACCTGAGTTGGCTTTTTTGTTTGAGATTGCTACATTTCACCTATGTGTAGCCATAAACAAATCAGCTGGTTTTGATTGTGGACTCATTCAAAACTTGTGGTCACAGGTAATATAAAATGATGCTTGTCTTCAGGATCAGATTCACTTCTCAAAATTCTGTAGGCACAAATCTGTTTCTACAATTCTAAATCAAGCCAACTACCCAACCCAAACCTTTACATCTTCACTACAACAAATTGTTTCCTGTAAAAAAAAAAAAAAATCAAAGCACTAATCTTCAGAAGTAGATGTCTGAAAATGGAGGTGACCAAAGAGATCTGTTGACTCATCTGTCACATACATACAGTATGAAAAGGTTGTACCAAGCTGGATTTGTTAAATCACATGGCACCGCATGCATATGTCTAGAAATGGATGAACATTGGCTAATTATTTTTTCTTTATTATTCTTAGTTCTACTGCCACTTTTGTTAACTGTAAAATGATATATGGGCAGCACAGTGGTGTAGTGGTTAGCACTTCTGCCTTGTAGCACTGGGGGTCCCTGGCTTGAATCCCGGCCAGGTCACTATCTATAAGGAGTTTGCATGTTCTCCCTGTACTTGCGTGGGTTTCCTCCAGGTACTCAGGTTTCATCCCAAAGACATTCTGGTAGCTTAATTGGCCCTCGTATGTATGCATGTGAGATAGGAACCTTAGACTGTAAGCTGCTTGAGGGCAGGGATTGATATGAATGTATGCTGCGTAAATTGTTGGCACGATATAAGTATCAATAATAAATAATAATATTGTGAATGGTTGGCAAAATAGAATCAGCCTGTGCAGTGCCAACTTTACTGACCTCTGCAGTATATTCAACTGCAATCCAAAAGAAAAAATACAGTAAATATTAACGATTAACTCCAACCAGAATGTTTGTTTTTTTGGATATAAAAAAACAATATTAAAAGATTTGAATGTTTTAATTTCTAATATCTTCAAGCCCAAGACCATCCAGAGTCTTACCAACAATTTTAGGTCTGAATGAAGGGGACCCAATAGAACCTCCATGTCGCATTTGCTTGTCCTTTTGATATTTATGAACTAAAACTCCTCAACATTTGGTCTGGTGTTCCTGTTTTTTGTACTCCATGGATTTCACCTGAGCATCCCCTAGAGGTCTCTTTGTGTCAGTGAGCCGCCAACAGTATTGCCAATGTGGGTTTGGCAAATGGGTGAGGCCTAGAGTAGGTGTGGTCTGTACATCGATTGTTGGCCACAGTAAAATGCTTAGGGCCCTCTTAATAAAGACTATCACTATCCGCTGAACCGTGGGATTTTATGGCACACCACAGCCTACATTTTACGGTCCATTTATAAAATGCAGGCTGCCGTGTGAAGTCTGTAAGGCCTGAATTGCGTTCAGCAAGAGGAATCCAGTCCACACAAGAGGAGTGCAATACTTATTTTTAAAGAACATTGTTGCGCTATATAAATGTGCAGCGTGTTCTATTCTAATGCA